AATTTGGTATTGTTACCAGAGCTGTAATTGCTGCACTGCTTTGAGACATTATTGAATAACTCATACAAGCAAAGATGCAAAAGTCCACACCATTCACCCACCAAATTTACTTGTTGCTAATAATATAGTAAAGCTATATTATTCTTGTAGTAAGAACCCAGGATACGTGCCAGCATTCACGTTTGTGACATGAAGTAAGTGCTGAATAAAGCATGAATTTCATCTTTCTGCCTTAACTGAAACAGGAATGATGCCTTATTACATATGATCTGGAGTGCATATACAGTAGGAGGATGCATATTCCAACCCAGAGGGTCTGTTCTCCATGGTGGAGAGAACCATTTCCAACAAGCTCTGGACAATTTAGATTTAGTATGCAATTTTGGATTGAATAAATGTAAACTTTACATTCACAATTCTGTAACTACGGGTGTCCTTAATACACTAACCCAGCATATGAATTAAGTTACTGACCTAGAAATACAGAGTAATCTAATACAAAAGTAATCTTATTCCAGCCCGAAATTGTGGAGGTTTTTTGTCTTTTTTTTTTCCTTAGAAAAGTAGGCAAAAGAAGGCAGGGGAAATAATTTATCATCCAAAAGTAAAGTGAGAAAGCCTTATACAGATTCATGTTTAAGAAATCTAAAAGCACATTCCTTACCTGTGAAGTATAAAGTGAAAGGAGTAGTAAGACCAGGAAAACAGTAACTCAAGAGCTTTGAGAAATTTTTCCATTTTTACCTTTTTCATGAAGCTGATAACTTTTTGCAAAGATGTTGATGACACTGTGGGGACTCCCCTTCGCCAGTTCCTCCCATGGCCCCTTGCTGTGTGCGCCACTTGTCTGAGTGAAAAGTGGCAAATACTTCTCAGCTTCTTTCTGAAACTCCTTTATGGGCTCAAAAGCATTTCTTTCCCGAATGCAGAAATCCTTCTCTTTTAACTTCTCCAGCATCTTCAGTGGCAACTGTTTGTGCTGGCCTCCTTCCTCTTCAGCGAGGCTTCCGTCACTCAGGAGAGGTCCTTCGCTGATGGAGTCAATGCTGGACTCATGAGGAACTACAGCTTTGTTCGGAGCATAAGCCTGGTTTTCACGCCCCAGGGAGTCAGTCTGCCTCTTAGATAAATGTCCTAGTATCCCCTCGTGCCTGTTAGCAGCAGGGGACCTCATTCCAAGGCTGACTGCAGCAGTATGAGGCCTAATCACCTCTGGAAGCTTTTTAAATTCACTAAGGTTGCCTACCCCAGGAAGGCTGTCATCAAAGGCTGTATGAGAGACACAGGTACCTAACATCTTTTGAATTCTGGCCGAAAAAGCGTCTTCATTTTCCTCTCTCACAGGAGGACTCACAGCCTTTGCCCATCGCCCATCATCCTGATTTTCTTGCATAAATTCATGGTCTGAGCTCCACATAGTACCATAATTGATACCAGCCCCAGCCAACTTTTTGGCTTCACATTCGATCCTGCTAGAAAGGGAAGCAGCTGTAGCTTTCAAAGCTTCAATCCGATCTAATTTGCTCTTATATTGGTTAGCAGTAGGTTTTACTAAGAGATTTTGCTGTGCACTAGGTGAATTCAGGTATGGCTGAGGCACCAAGGTCAGAGATCCCACGGGTGCAGCATGGCTCCTCCTGCCTGCCAACATCACATCACACTCCTTTGACAAAAGATCCACCTGCTCCAGACTCCAATGTTGCGAGCAAGGGCCTACACTTGGGCCCATGAGAGCTTGCGGGTGAGGGAGCTGGACTCTTGGGCTCAGCCTGTCTGGCTGTACCCACGGAGGCTCCATCAAATCGCTCCTAAAATGAAAAGTCAACATTTAAGTTGATGACTTACACAAGTGCTGTTGTTTTAAATGAAAGTACCATTGCTACAAATTTATTTTTCAGGAAGAGATACTTTTTGGTGGATTAAGAAGGGCAGGGAATGGGACAGTAAACAGTTACAGAATGTTATTTAAAATAAACAACAAACAATACAGCACCTTCCAAATTTGAACTGCCATTAATGGTGTGCTGTGTGCTTTAGAGTTGTAACAGGCTGAGTGTTTTCATCATCAGTAAGTCTTTTGGAAAAGTTTCCTGACTTCAAAAGGGAGGAAACTTTCTTTTTTTTAAAATTTCTTAGCCCCAGCGTTCCCTTTCCAGCTGAACCCAGCCCATGTTTCACTAAAGCTGTCACTTAGGGTAGGCATGAAGAACACTAAGAGAAAAGGAGAACTGGAAATACAAGGGTGTTTAAAGCTTTGTAAGACATCTTTTTGATCTCCAGATAGCTCACATTTGCATGACAGGAGCTCTGTAAAGACCTTCCTTCATTAATATCACTTGCACATATTCTGAATACTAGGAAATCTGGAAAGACCCCCCAAAAAACCTGCTTCTCTGCCTACTGTGAAGCTCTCCAAATAACTCAGGTGGCCCTTTAAGTCTCATCTCTCCCCTACTACTAGTACTTACATTTTTTCCTTACGATGTGACACCAACAGCATGTACTACCATATGGTTTAGCAGCCTATTCTATACACAGTACTACACAGCATTCCTAGTGCTTCCTTGAACTTTTCTACAAAGGGAACAGGTCTCATTGAATTTACAAAGTCAGTGTGGATACGACCAAGTAGAGGTACAGGCAATGAAGCAAGCATATATTTAAGAAGCAGACATCCATTATGTAATTAAAAATGAAGACACACTTGCACAGCAGGGATATTAAAGATATGCAAGAAACTTCATGATTTTTAGTTCCTTATATTTAAGTGTTTGGTTAGGCACCTTGACTTACAGTAAGACAAACTTTGATAATGCACTGAACAATTAAAAATGGGGAAAGCAGCATGAAAGGAAACACGGAAAGGCTAGTTCCAAGCAGAAGCAGAGGTTTTTCGGTACTTTAGAGACAGTAACTAAAGGTCTGAATCCCAGACAATAGATTAAATAGAAACATTGAACAAACCAAATATGAAAAAAACAGACATATTCATATGATCAGCTTCTCTTGTCCCATGGCAATGGCAGAGGAAATACAGTCTCCCGATATGAAATGCACATCTCCTTGACGTCAGCAAAAGATCAACAGCAACCGCCACTCACTTTATTTATTTAAACTCACTAAATACCTATAGCCAAAATTTTCATATGCTTTCCTGTATCAGCTTCCTCTCTACTGTGAAGAAACATTATAATTGTCATAAAGAAAATTACTCTTGTTAGAACATGAATGTAAGAGTCTAGTCTATTTTCACCTCTCGGAGATGAAAACTAGTATTTTTCTCTCAAAAGGCCCACAATGGCTCACCTCAGTAGCGGCTGCTGCGGTTCTGAAAGCGACATGTCACTACTTGAAGATGCACTAGGAGGACGCTCTTGAGCCTTGTTTTCTTTGTCGGATTCCCCAGATGGTTGATAGCCAGGCCTGGGCTAGAAATGAAGACAACCAGAAAAAACACATTTTCAAAAGTCTGTAGGTGTTTGGAAGCTCTTCTCTCATTAAAATTGAAGAGGCTTACATTTCTTTGTGTAGTATCACATTTTTCCTACCACACAAAGACTTAACAACACAAGATGGTTATGTTTTTGTCTCAGCAGAACGTACTGGGAAGCGAGCTTTGCTTACATACTGAACTAGTTTAACTGAACATGAATCAATATTAGTCTTTTAGTATCTATTAATCTTCTTTCATATTCAGTTTCTGAGTAGCAAACTCATTTAACTCATTGGTGATTAAGTTTGTCCTCTGACCGAAAGCAACTTCAGAGCAAGCCCTTCGATTCACAGTTTGACTGATGCTTACAATTTTCTTAAGAGCCAACCATTACAGCAGCTCTTAGCTAACAGCCTGAATTCTTCTTCTATTTATAATAGAAAAAAGGATTTCCATTCACCTTTCTGGTAGGCCTTGCTGTGCTGAAAAGCAGCCACTAGCAAAGAGGTTCTGGATCAAAACCACTATTTTTTAAGCAAAAGCTACACAGTTTTCTTGGTATCCTTTCTCTTAACTGATAACCAGACCAGGACAAGTCATGACCTTCCTGAACATATGACCTCCTATTCCTGCAAATAACTGCAACACATTAAGTTAGTGAATCAGCTATACCTGTGTTTCCTGCACCAGAGGCAGCTGAGGTGGCTCTTCTAAAAACGTATGTACCAGCAATAGTTTAGAATAGGTTTCCTGTAACCGTTTGGCTGCTGAAGGTTCAGGAGGAGGCATGTTCTTCACTTTAGTAAAAGCCTCCTTCTGCTTTCTGTAGAGCTCCTGGAGCCTTTTGTTCTTCTGTTCTGTTGCCTCCTTCTGTGCTTTCTTCTCTTCATTCTGCTTCTTCTTCCTCTCCTCTTGCTGCCTGATGATGTACTGACGAACCTCATCTGTATCATAGTGACGTTTCTTCGAGATCACCTGAGGCTCCTCACTGGCAGCTATCTTGTCCGGTTTCCTTTTGGTTGGACTGTGGCTCCTGGCATTTTGAGTAGGCAAAACAGATTTCTGATTCTGCTTTTCCACATCTTTCTCTTGCTTTGTACTCATGGAATCCAACTGCAAGTCATCGAGAATTCCACGTATCTCCACAGGCAGGAAGTCCTTATTTACAGAGCCATGATCTTCTTGGTTATCACCTGGAAGAGCTGCTTCCAGTTTCTTCAGGTTATTCTCAGATCGTACTTTACTCCTTGACCTTTCAGAACTTCTTAAAGAGGTCTTATGGTTAACATCCAGTCTAGAATCTGAACCTGTCCTTCCAATACAGCCTGCTAAAGAATAAGACTTGTCAAATATTTCAGGTAAAAATCAAGTTTTGGAACTACATGTCATCACTGAAACAGCTGCAAGAGTGAGGGTGAGGGAGGAGTGCAGACCTCACTGTAAACGTGTTTTTGGTTCATTCAGTCTGAACGAAGTCTGAATACAGCAGCCTTTGCTTAGACTGAGTTCACACCCTTGACAGTCTTACCAGCCTCACCACCTCACAGGCACAGGCAGCACAGCAGCTACCATCGTCCCTTACTTGCCCTGTCTGAGATTCTGGGTAAGTTCTGAAAGGGGCTGGTGGAGGGATCAATGAAGATTTATGATGCACGTGGATGACATATAGTATCTGGAAGAACCAACATTCCTGTAAAACAGGGATGCTCAACCATAACTTACATATTATATGCAGCACATCTGGAAAATTTACCTGGCCTGTGGACCACTTCTAGCCATTCCTTCCCCCACTAACCTCAAGAGGCAAAGACAGATTGCAGGTGATCCATTTTTTTTCAGTTGCAACCTATTTCCCATCTTTTCCAGAGCTCCTGAGCACCTTTGCAGCATGTACTGCCCCTCAAGTCACATGCGCAGGGCAGGCTTTCCATGACACCAAGACAAGTTCATAATCCACCCAGGAAGAGAGGTTATGCATCCCAACCATGGATGTAAGCAAAATGTCTTCCACCTCGAATCCCAGGTTAAAAATAGGAGTTATTAAAATAAGGGACTGATTACATTCTATCTCAGAAGTCTGCTTTATTCTGAAGACATGCAGCGTTATGTAATAAATTAAGTAAAATTTTAAAAGTCCAGTGATAAAAGTACAACTTACCAGACTTGGCAGCTCTCTCACGTCCTGTTCTGTCACTAGATATAGCTCTTCTGTCTTGTTCTATTCTGGGGGCTGGACCCAGTATCTTTTTTACTAGCTTTTGTCCCTCCCGCCAGGAGGATGCACTTATTACATAGTTTCCACCTGCACGATAAGTAATAAATAAAAGTCAAGCACTAGATGGATTTACCAATGTATCAAGAAGTAGTATTTATTGCAACCATTAATCATTTCTATACCATTTAGCTCTGCATAAGTGGTATGGCTGCAGTTACACTAAACAGTTGTAACGGTGATGTACCGTGAAGACACTCAACAGCTGACTCTCGCAACTACCAGTGCTTCATGCCTACACATAATTCAATGTAAAAATCCAAAATTTTTAATGTAGCACATTAAAGTCCTACAAAAATTGATGTAAAAAAAAGAAAAGGGTTATGCAGGTGTAAAACATATAAGCAAACATTACTGGGGAGAAGGGAAATATTTGTAGAGGACTGAGAAGCAGCTGTTCAGTTAAATAAGGAAAATAAGAATAAATGTAAAAGGATCTAAAATGTTGTCATAAAAAGAACAAAAATTAAGGTGGGAGATAAAAAAACTATTCACCTTTGTATTAAAAGAATATTAGCTGATATTCTAGAAAAAAACACTTTAGAGATTTTTACAGATAATTAATTGTTGAGATAGGTGTCTTGTGAGGAGACACATTAGATTAAATGCTACGTTTATTCAAATCACCTTTCATCCCACTAGCTTCCAATATTATTAATCACTTTTTTGAAATCACCTTAAAGAGCTTTGGAGAAAAGCATTATATAAAAAAGAAAATTATTAATAACCTAATTTGGACCATTTAGCAGCATTTTGTCGCCAGAAAAGTACCTAACTTGAATACCCCATTCGCGGCTGATTTCTAACCAATTTCAGGTTCTACCTCTGACAGCACTGCCTAAACAAACCTGGACACCGCAGCGTGAAAACAACACACCCACACAAAGAGGGGTTGTACTCTGGGCCCAACAGGACTTTGAAGACACGGTACCAAAGCAACTTCAAGTGAAATCCAGGACAGCAGACCAACAGTGTTTCGGCAATCCCAGCCCTCCATAACTGCCCCCCCGTTTTCTTTCTGTTATTTTGAACCAAAAGGAGGAAACCTGTTCAGTCACAAGTCCATAGCCCACTATTCATTCATTTACTAACAGTACTCCTTGCTTGCCCTGTAAATTATCCAAGTATTTTATAAATGTCACCTGAACCATGTCACTACAAGCCTTTTTGAAACAGAGGTATTAGCCAAAGGGGTTCTCTTGCTGAACTCACTGTTCTCAATTACTACTGTGGGCATTTAAAAAGGCAGTGTAAAGTCTCATCTTCCATTTCCAGTCAGCTGTTTGAACTAAAACATGCCAACAGAGCAGAACATGAGCTGTGGCTATTTATAGCCTTGGCTATGTTAAGCAGTTTCTTGTTGCTATGACTGTAGGAGGATGGACCATCACAGATATGCCATTTAAATCTGGCTCTTATCTTCTAGGGATTTCAGGCCATCATTCTCCTCACATTTAATCTATTACGGAGAATAACCACTGCCATTAAAACTTGCAGCAATTTCTGTGCTTGTCCCTCACTTGGAACTGTTACAAATATGTAAGTTAGTTTAGATTATAGTTCCTTGAGTATGAATTGATCAGCATAAGAAGGAGAAAATGCATACTTATCACTTACTTTTAAGTATGAGCATTCATTACCACAAAATACTCACGTACAGCTTCATGATTTATAGCAGGCAGAAGCACATATTCACTCTAAAAAATGCTTTGTAATAATTTTTTAAAGCAGCTTTTTTTTCTTCAAAGTGTTTACTGATTATGGGTCACCGTATATAAGGATAAATATAAAACCTTAAAAGGTGCAAGAGATGTCTAACCTTGCATGTATTTAAAGAAGAAAAAATTGCTCTGTAGTGTGACTGCAGTCATAACTACTTACTTTGTATGAAAATTAAAATCAAATATGAAGCAGATGTGGAAGTCTTTCTAATCCTTTTGCTACAGACAATATCAAAGATTAACATTACTGGAAAACTAAGAAGCACTGACAGAATTCTACATGTAGTTCTACAGTTCTACCTGCTCACATCATCTCCTCTAAATATTTTACTTTTATGTAATAGACAGTGGAAATGTCAGACAAGAGTGAAAATTAAAAAAAAAAATCTTAATTTGTAAAAGGAATAAATATTCCTTTATAAATATCAACACCTTTAAGACTTGTCAGGGATGTGTTTTTACATTCTTTCACTAACTGAAAAAGCCAGGAATGGGTCAAGCCAGAACTGAAGGTGCAGGACAGCAACAACTTGACACAGGACTTAGAAGAACAACAGCCAAGAAGAGCCAAAAGAATATCCTGCTCTCTGCTTCCCCATTCAGAAATCACAGAATCATAAGGTTGGAATGGAGCTCTAAGATCATAAAGTCCAACCGTCAACCCAACACCACCAGGCCCACTAAGCCACGTCCTAAAGTGCCACGTCTACGCGTTTTTTGAATGCCCCCAGGCACAGTGACTCCACTTCCTTGGGCAGCCTGTTCCAACATTTGACAACCCTTTTCAGTAACGAAGTTTTTCCTAATGTCCAATCTAATCCTTCCTTGGCACAACCTGAGGCCGTTCCCTCTCATCCTATGACTAGTTACTTGGG